GCAGGAGACCGGCGCCACCTTGTAGTGGCGGGAGCGGCTCCCGACATCTCCCCCTTTTTTATTAATTAAAGGCCATTTCAACCAGAAAAATTAACACACCATGAGGTCACCGATCAGCCTGCTGAGCCAACAGCATCAGCGATCAAGGAGTTTACACAGTGTAGGAGACCCTCTGCACCCTTAGCCCCGTGCAATGGGAACCCGAGCCCTGGGGAGTGCAGAGGTCTGTCCAGAACAGCATCCCGGTGCAATGGGAACCTGTGCCCTTCAGGGGTGCCATAAGTTCTAGACAGAGTCTCAACGGTTGAGCAAGTTAAGCCAAACTTGGGGGGATGCCCCCTGTTCCACAGCCAGCATAGCCTGCACCATGGCCACATTTTTAAGATGTTGTTGTCTCTTGAATCTGCAGAGCAACCAAAAACAGAGGAGCAGTCCTGCAAACAGGGTTACTCCAAACATTCCCACTCCAACCCACTCCTTAAAATAGGAGAGGGCGGAGGACACCCAATTAAACAATCCTTGAGTAATGGAAACGTCTAGGCGAGTGGAATTAATTTGAACAATTGCTAGGCGTAATTTTCTTATTGTCTCATCAAATTCGGCGGACCAATTAGATTGCAGCAAACGAGACAATTCTATGGATAAATTTGCAGCCCTAGTAAACCTGTTATATGGAACAGAAGTTACACAAATTCCTGGTAATGTAGTTTCACATCCCAACTGAGCCAGCTGCCACAAAATCTCTAGCTGTTCTTGAACCAAATCAATACGTTGATTAACTATCATTAATCCTCCTTTTAACTGATTGTTCACGGAAGCCTGTATATCTATCGCTTCACTAACTGATGCTGACAAATTATTGAGGGTATGAGCCGTGGCAACCTGGCCATTTAATGCTAAGGCTGATATAGTCAGGGAGGCTCCAACCGCCGCAGTGGCTATAATAGCCACTATTGCTGCGGTGATACCAAAATCACGCTTTTGACGAAATAGGGCCAAAGAACTACTAGTCCTCACTGGAATAGGCAGAAAACGGGGCATGCGGGCTACAGTAGCCAAGTCATACTCACTAGCATTCCAACACAGAGCATAAAAACATCCAGTATAATTACAAACTGTCCAAACAAATGGAGGCCAAACACAAACTGGGGTGGGCTCCACCGACTTTAGTCCTCCTAATTCCGTCGCGGATATGGATCCAGGTCTGACATTTGCAAGCAGAGTGGTAGTAGCTGTCGCTCCACCCAAAATGGTGACCATGGGTGAGAGATCTGTGCAACTGCCACCAACACCACACAGCAGCCAAATATTAAAGGGATTGGTGGGGTAATTCCAGGGACTCATTTCGGTGTAATTTCCATACCCTTCCAAGGGTGAAAAGGTAAAGAGTCCATTTTCGAGCAGATGCGCTCTGCGACTCTGACAGCCCGTCCATGGGAAAATAATTGAAGAGTCCGCATGCCGGCCAGTGCAGAAGGGGGCGTACTGAGGTTGGTGCTTTCGTTCATTGCTCCCATAAGATGAACCGTGCTGTGGCCACCATCCAAAAAGGACCGTAGCATTAGCTGAAGATGTACGATTCCTGATGGTCTCTTTTCCTAACTTGGCATAAGAAAAATTTCCTAGCTTTATACATGAGTCAGCATGAGTCTGGTTGGTTGTAAAACAAAGACTGCCGTTATTTGGCTGGGTGTTGTTGTCTGGTATAGGGGCTATGTCCTGAGACATTGGCAAATATGGTAGCCCAATGGAGTCATTGGTGGTAAAGAAACGGGGGAAGACTTGTGCATCATACATGACTGGCATTGGTCGTGGGAATGTTGATAGGATCCCCCAGCGGATCTCCTGGGTCTCCACCTTCAGGTCCATCTGCACTCCGCTCAAGATCAGGATCAGGGTTAAGATCAGGCTCATCTTGCTTGACCACTCTGGTCAGCCGCGCTGGAACCCAAATCGGATTTTCTTGGTCCTGTGGGAAAACACAAACAGCTCCCCTGGATCTTATTAAAATAGGATCCGGTCCTTTCCATTGATTATCAAGCACATCTTTCCATTTTACCAGCTCATTTGAGGAGGCATGGTCAGCATGTCTGTCTGCAGCAGACCGCCCACACGAATCCAATTTCAAAAAATTTAAAGTAAATAAAGCAAGGGATATGGTTGCTTTCTGTCCCATTGTAATGGGGCAGAGTCCCCCCCTTCTGTTTTTGCACATAAGTCTTTAAAACACCATTTGCCCGTTTTACCATGTCTTGCCCTTGTGGATTATAAGGCAATCCTGTTACATGATGAACTTCCATTTTTTGGCAGAACTGTTGAAAAACCTTAGATACATAAGCAGGGCCATTATCAGTTTTTAGCTGACGTGGCTTGCCCCAGGCTGCCCAGGCCTCCAGACAGTGGGTAATGACATGAGCCGTTTTTTCTCCTGACAGGGGAGTGGCATGAATCACTCCTGAGCATGTATCAACAGATACATGTACATATTTAAGTCTGCCAAAGGCAGGAACATGAGTAACATCCATCTGCCAAATATGTAATGGCTTAAGACCTCTGGGGTTGACTCCAATGTTGGGTGATGGCCGAAACTCCGCGCAACTGGCGCATTTTAAAACTATCTCCCGAGCTTCTGCGCGAGAGACGCCAAATCTCAGCCTGAGCGTATCAGCTGGAACATGATACAATTCATGAAAGGAGGTGGCATTTTTTACAGGATTTAATGCAAGACAAATTGCTCTGGTAGCCTTGTCTGCTAAATCATTAGCTCTTGTCATAGGTCCAGGCAACAAAGTATGAGCTCTCATATGCTGTATGAAGAAAGGATTTGCTCTATTCCTAATAATATGTTGTATCTCATCAAATAATATTGCCACAGTACTTTTAGAAGAAATCAATCCCACTGTCTCTAGAATTTTTACTGCTCCCACCACATAGTGTGAGTCAGAAACAATATTTAAGGGCTGAGAGAAGTTCCTTAGAACTTCAGCCACTACTGCACATTCAACCAATTGTGGGGAGGAAAATGAAAACTGCTTTTGAAATGATTGTCCACCCACAACATAACTCCCTATGCCAGTTTTTGAGCCATCAGTAAACACATCAATAGCCCCTACAATAGGTTGGCTTTGTGTAACTCTTGGAAAAATAAATGCATTAGTTAAAGAGAAGTGCAACAATGGATGTTTAGGATAATGATTATCTATATTACCAGTAAAGGTGCAGCGAAGAATTGCCCACACATCCAAAGTGGCACATAACACCCCTACTTGATGAGCGGTGTATGGCACAAAAATAGATGCTGGCTCACAGCCAAAATGAGTCAGGGCTGATTGAACACCCTTTAAGGCTATTTCTCCAACTTGAGTTGGGTAATGACTTAACACCTTTCCTGGAGATGTCTGAGAATGAATCCAAAGCAAAGGTCCCTGCTGCCATAGGACTGCGGTGGGTTGCTGTGGTGATGGGATAATGCATAAATGGAATGGACTGAAGGGGTCCAGCCGAGTTAAAGAGGCTTCCTTAAGCCTATCTTCCACCTTAGTCAATACTTCAGCAGCCTCCGCTGTAAGCTGCCTACTAGAGGTAATGGCTGAATCTCCTTCAAGGATGGCAAACAAAGGCCTAAGTTCTGCAGTAGTTAAATTCAAGTAAGGCCTTAGCCAATTAATATCGCCCAAAAGTTTTTGAAAATCATTAAGCGTGTTGAGCACATCTCTCCTAATGGTAATCTTTTGAGGTCTAATGCGTCTAGGATAAATAGTTGAGCCAAGGAAATTACCGATCTCTCCCTCTTGTACCTTTTCAGGTGCTATGTACAAACCCTTTTGTTTTAGGTTAGCGGACAACATCTCAAATGCCTGTTGCAGTAATGCTTGCTCAGCATGGCATAGCAAGATGTCATCCATATAATGACATACCTTAATAGCAGGGAACCGATTTCTAACTGGCTGAATAGCGTTGGCCACATAGAGTTGGCACATGGTTGGACTATTGGCCATTCCCTGAGGTAAGACCTTCCACTGATACCTCTTATCAGGTTGTTCATGATTTACACTAGGCAAGGTAAATGCAAACCTAACTCTATCCTGATCGTGTAAGGGAATAGAGAAGAAACAATCTTTAATATCTACCATTACCAAATTCCAGTTCGCAGGAAGGGTAGACAACAATGGTAGGCCTCTCTGAATTGGCCCCATAACCTGCATTTGTTTATTTATAGCTCTTAAATCATGCAACAATCTCCACTTTCCAGATTTTTTCTTAATGACAAAGATGGGAGTATTCCAAGGTGACTGTGAGCACTCAATATGGCCATGGCTGAGCTGCTCTTGAACTAGCTGCTCAGCTGCTGCAAGCTTTTCAGAGGTTAAAGGCCACTGAGGAACCCAAACTGGGTCCTCTGTAGTCCAGGGAATGGGAATCGCCTCCTCAGTGGCCCCTAGGAAAAACCCAGGCCTGTTCTATCTTTCTTTTCCGAGGTTGGGATAGGGCTAGTGCGTCCTTGCAGGCATTTACCCAGTCCTTTACCTGGAACACATCCCATGTTCTTCATTATTTGTTGACTTTGAGGAGAGTATTCATTAGTTAAGGTAAAATCCAATTGTTGTAACACATCCCTTCCCCATAAATTAATGGGAAGAGGTAGCACATAAGGAGCGAACATGCCCCTTTTTCCTTCCTCATTTTGCCAATGCAAAGTCTTCGCACTCTTTTGAGGAGCATTTTCATATCCCAACCCTTGTAGGGATTGAGATGATAGAATAAGAGGCCATCGCGACGGCCACCAAGTTTTAGAAATTATGCTGGTATCTGCTCCAGTGTCCAATAGACCTTGAAAAGTTTTCCCTTCTATTATCAAACTCATCATAGGGCGTTCTTGCATACCCAATGACAAGAACATATGCTGTCCTCCCGAGGAACCAAAGCCTTTTTCTCCTCGAGTAATTTTATCACTTGGGAAGTTCTGATGTAAACTGGGTAAGATCAAAAGTTGGGCCACTCTGTCCCCAGGCGAGATGGCACTAATCCCTCTAGGGGAGGAACATAACATTTGAATTTGTCCTGTGAAATCTTGATCAATGACTCCTGGATGAACTTGCAATCCTTTTAAGGTGGCAGATGAGCGGCCAATTATCAGTCCCACTGAACCCTCTGGCAAGGGGCCTGCTAAATCTGAAGGTATAGGCTGACATCCCATTATAGGTGTCAATACTGCTCTGGTGGTGGCACGCAAGTCCAATCCTGCTGATCCGGAGGTTGCTCTCCGGATGGAGTCATCTTCACAAACCCTTTTGATTGGTAGGGTGTCTCCTGGATGGCCCCATACATTTGTCTTGGGCCCTGGGGTCGGGGGCCCCTGTTCCCGTTTTTTGGCTGCTCAGTAGAGCGCTCCGGAAGGGGCCTCCCCTGATTGTCCTTAACAGACCTGCATTCATTTGCCCAATGCTTTCCTTTTTTACACCTTGGGCACAACCCTGGCTGTTTGACAGGCTGAGCATTAGGGGTCGCAGTTGGCGCCCGACACTGCCTTTTCATATGACCCATCTTTCCACAATTAAAACACTTTGCATTTGCAGCCTTCTGAGCTGATAATACCGCAGCTGCGATGCCCTGATTAGACAGTGGACCTCCTATCTCTCTGCACGCTTTCATCCAAGCGTTTATTCCTTTTCCTTTCCAGGGAGTAATGGCATTCCTACACTCCTTGGTACATTGCTCAAAAATTAATTGCTCCACAAACGGTATTGCGCCCTCAGGGTCCTCAAATATTCTTCCTGCTGCTTCCATCATTCTAGCCACAAAGTCTGAAAAAGGCTCTGTAGCTCCTTGTATAATCTTTGTCAAATTTCCGGTAACCTGTCCCTTATTTGGTAAACTCCTCCAGGCACGAACAGCTGCCTTGTTGATCTGTTGGTACACCTCAGCAGGATACATTGACTGATTAACAACCCATTGACCTTGACCTGTAAGCATATCATAATTCCATTGAGGGTGCTGATTAGTTGCATTCTGCCTAGCCTGAGCCATGCATAATTCCTGATAAATTGCTCTCCAATCAAGACATTGACCCATAGAGAGACATGCCTTCACGGTATTATTCCAGTCAGCGGGAGTCATAGCATCAGCAGCTAGCCTCTCTACCAATGCCAAGGTAAAAGAGGCACTGATACCATACGTCTGTACTGCCTCCACCAATGTCTTTAGTTGTTTCAAATCTAGAGGAGCATATTGCCTCTGATTTTGAGCATCTTCCCATACAGGAAATGCTGCTTGTATCTTTCTAACTTCCTTTTCAGGAATGCGTGACGGCCTTCCTCCTGATCCTGTGTGTTTTTCCACTTCCTCATAGGGAGGAGCTGTTGTACTGCACTTAAAAGCTACAGAGCCACGCCTAGGTGAATAAGGCGGGACGGGGCCATATCTCTCTTCCTCATATTTTGCAGCTTCCTCATCTAACTCTGCCTGCTCAGCAGGGTCAAGACCCGACTCCTCAGAGTCAGATGACTCCTGCTCATCCTCCCCTTCAGAAGAAGATGATAGAGTGCAATTTTTGAACTCAGTGAGGAGCGGATATAATTTAGGTTTTTCATCCTCATCTTTTTTTTCTTGCGGGGTTGGTAAGAGTTGCAATCTTTTTGCCTTATCTTCAAGCTCCTCTTTCTTCTTTGCAAGTTGTGCTGCCCTTTTTTCTAACTTAGCTAGCTTGGTTAACACATCCTTGTTCTCATGACTTTTCTTTTCTTTTTTCTTAGAAGGCTTCTTCCTTTTATTAGCCTCTTTATCCTTTTCAGCTTCTGATACACTATCCTGATGGTCTGACAAGACCCGCTGGCCTTCCTTGATCTTTTCCTTGCACCTCTCATCCTTAATGCACGATTTGAACAATTTATACAGTGGCCATACCCCTGGTCTTAGGGTCCCCTGTTCCTTTTCTCGTGTCAGATCCCCACTTAGCTTGCTCCATGATCCTTCCGTAAGGGACCCGGAGAGAACGAACCAGGGAGCCACTCGATCTACTTCTTTGAGAAAGTTCTGCAACACCCGATCTGGGACCTTAAGCTCCTTCTGTTTCAACAGCGCCCGCGCTGCTTCTAGAAGCGGCTTATTCGGATGGTTGCCCATTGCTCCTTTATCTACAGGGGAGGGTGTGGCAACTCAGTTATCTACTTGAGGATTACAGCCAAATTATGCAGTGTCGCAAAAAGGACGAATACAAACCGTATCCCGTTTCCCACAATTAAGACACAGACAACAGAAAAGAACGAAAACGAGACTAACAACGAGAAACGGAATCACCCAGACCACAGAAATCATACCTTGCTGAAAAGTCTCCGGAGTTTCTCAGGTCACTGGCTTGGATCCTCTTTCCGACGAGCAGTCGGGGTCCTCAAAGCTGTCCCTCTACCCGGGTTCGGCGGCTTCCCGGGTTTCGGCACCACTTGTCGCGCGCAGCCTTCGCCGATAAGGATGACGCGGCAACCGAGGA